AAAAGCCAGAGAAGCACTTTTCCTTTCAGGATATTTTTCACTCTCCTCAAGAAAGCTGTGTTCTCTAAGAAGCTGGCTCCAGACTATGTGTGACTCAAGATTATTGTTGCCTGTTCTAAAAATGACTCATGGAAACAAACAAAATGAGCTGAGTGCTTAGGGAGACCTAGCTGGCAAACACAACCTTTTTCTTCCACCTCCCTCTAAGTGAGAAATTTTTAAGAATCAGCAGTGCAAGTTTACTGCTAATAGTTGCAAATCAATTATTTAATTATTATCAATCATTTAATTATTACCTAACTGCTCCAGGATATTTCTGAATCCAACCCACCAATCTTCACAAGCCCAGTTCTGCTAATGGGACAGTGCTGTCTTCCACCAGACAGTTTCCCTTTAGACCCAGGATCTACTTTTGCCTGTGCTGGGATGGTTTAAGCCCTCATAATGCAGCATAGCTGGTATTTGTACATTGCTGTAGAGCATTCCCTAAACTGTGTCACAGCAGAGTGCAACCCCAGCACCTTATTTTGAGGACACCTTTAGACCTTTTAGGGACAGCTTCCTATTCATCTCAAGCTGTGTGGGTGGGCACAGCTATGACTTTTACAAGGAATCTCTGTCCAAGATTCCTGCCTTTGTTGAAGGGGACTTGACCCTTAATTTGCACTTCCTTGGTAATTACTGTAATCAGGGTAGGTGGCTCAGTTCCTCTAATGAGGTTATTTTCCTGGAGCTTACAAGGTGGAGTATTCACCCACCTGGGAAGACCACAGGGATGTTGCCCATCAATAGGGAAAGGGAGGATGGAACCTGAGTTTGTTTCTGCTCCAGTCAGTGCTTGGATTAAATATTAATAATGCAAAAGCTGGAAGAGACTCCGGCACAAATGCATTCACAGGCCTGACAAGGGTTGGCTCCACACAGAGCAGCCCAGCTTCAAAGGAAGGAGCAAGAGCCCTGCTCCAGAATACCTTGAGCCTGCTTACAGAGCATTTACATCTTTGGTGAGAATTAGCAGAAGCACATGGAAAGACCTGCACTGAAAGGAGCATTTCTCACAGTGGGTTTATGATTTGACTGCCACTGCAGGAGAATCCACAAGCTCAAATAGGAAGCATCTGTTAACTGAGAAAGCCTTTAAAAAAAAGTCCAGTGGGTGAGAGCTCTGAAACAGGACAAGTGCCTGTTTCATAGCTCACAGTGCTACCTTTTAAACCTGCTTTGCAGGTAGTTTAGTAATGCAGTATATGAGAATTGCAAGACTCTTAGACAATACAGTATCTGTTGAGCCAAGTGCTCTAATTTGACATCAAAACAGGAAGAAACCCAGACCCTACCAGGTGAAGCTGTACAGTTGTCAGGTGTCAGATGTGTCTGACACCCTCAGCCAGGCACGAGTCCCTGTGGTTCCTCAGGGACTGCAAATATCCAAACCAGATGAGTCCCCAGGGCAGCATCACTTGTGAGACAGGTGAGTTCCCAGAGGCAGGGCTTTAGCAGCAGAACATCTGAAGCCAGGCCAGTGTGCTGACAGTCAGAGAGACTTGGCTCTGGTCAAACGTGGCAAGCATATCCTAAAACCCCAGGTGTGACATAAATCAGTCATATCCCCAGGAAAGACTGCAGCAAAAGCAGGAATACTGCAAAAAGTGTAAAAAAATTCTACCTCATTATTTTAATTTGCTATTGAGACCTCTGGAAACAGTGAACACATTTTTCTAGTCTTTACACTTTGAGAACACTCAAAGCAATGAGAACTTTTTGTCATGTTCTATCACATTTCCTTTCGAGTGTACACCAGGTTAGTTGCAGCAACTTTGTGCAGTGCCACTGTGACTCTAGTAGGTTTGATAAGCCAGCTGACCTGATAAGAAAAATTACAAATAAGCAAGCTGTAGGTAGAAAGCATAAGAAAGCAACTTGAAACAACATGCCCATCACCACCCCATGCAGCTTTAAAATGTGCTGGGAATACAAGGGAAAGGGTTCCTCAACTGCAATCAGAAGATTCAAATCAGGATTGAACTCTCATGAGAATACAGCATGCATTTGGAAGTGATTGTTTGCTGATTAGCTAAGTCCTTGTATTACATAGTAGTTATGGGTCTCTTTCACTAAAACTAGAAATGCACTAGAAATTTATGGGCTCAGCTTGGACATGGGAGGAATATGCACTCCACTGAGACTTGCTCAGCAGGTACAGGTCGGCTGCTGGTTGCTTCTGGATAATGGCACAGAATTCAAATCATCCAGCTACCAGGAATACCTGGGGGCAGTCTCCTGTCATCACAAGACAGACTTGTGCTCCAGCCAACACAACATTTTTGCAATGTACCCTGCAGACTTGGGATGCAGAATAGCAGTTCTGCCAGTTTTTTGTATATGGGAGACTTCAAACAACAGCTTGTAACATGTTACTGCATAAGCAGGTTTTGGCATTTATTTCACTGTCTTGATTGTGGAAAAAAGGAATATTACTAATATTTTTCAGCAAAAAGAACAGTGCATTTCAAAGTACGCTTTAGGTATGCATGTCTATACATATACTCATGCATATATTAAAATAATTTCAAAGGGGGAGAGAAATATCCAGGAACATGAAGAAACTGTGTGACAGAAAACAACAGATGTGTCTAAATAAAGCCTACCTCTTGTGTAATGCCTCGATGCTCTTTTGCTTTCCAGGGAATACAGCAGCACTATAAGCCAAAATTTTTGCTCTCTTCTCCACCTTTAGAACTGCAGTTTCTGGCTTCTCAGTCAAGCTTGCATGTATATTTGAAATAATTACTCAGTGTCAAGCACTGTTACATAGGCTTTGTAGTACATAGAAGTTCTGCCAACACAGCTCTTAGTTGCTCAGTCGCTGCCCTGATTCCTGGCAAAGGTAATATTTCAGGGACCTACAAAAATCACCTATTCGAAGTGCCTGACCAATTCAGGGCTGGACAAAAGCTAAAACATGTTGTCAAGGGCATTGTCCAAATGCCTCTTAAACACTGACAGGCTTGGGGATCCTGAGATGGCCCCTCCACTCCCCCCGGAGCCCATCGGGTCAGGATCTGGCATCTGCCGGGCTGAGCCTGCCACTGCTGCAGCGACTCTGTGCCTGCTCCACACACAGATGGAGCAAGGGCTGTCCGTGCCCGGGAGTGCTGAGCAGCTGCACAGGTCATTCCGGGGCTGCATTCCCCTCCACCCATCCTGCTGGCATGAGGAATGTATCCCAGTGACTGAGAGAATGGGCAGCCAACCGTTCCCATGGCCCTGGCAGGACACTCTTCGTTTGGTGTATCAAAGCAGCGTGAAGTTCAGGAGCATAAGGAATCCAAGGTGGCTTCCAGGGAAAAGGAAGTGTCCAATGCCATGTGGCTGCTTCACACACAAGAGATTCCATAAACACTGTGGTTTGGGGATTTTGGGGGGGTTGGTAGTTGTCCGGATTTTTGTTTGTTTGTTCATTGTCACCAATCATTGACCTTTGCGTTTGTCCTGGTTCTAGCTGGGACAGGGTTAAGTTTTGCAGCAGTGGTGAGCAATTGGATGTGAATTGTACTCTGCCATTCCTATCGCTGTTGTTACTGTTTCTTATTTCATTGCTGTTTTTAGTAAATTGTTCTTATCTCAGCCTCTGATCTTCAACTCTGTGTGCCTGCAAATTAATTGATTATTTAAGGCAAGGGAAAGGAGGAAAAGCAGCAAGGGACAGCTTAGGAAACACATTGCACAAGAGTGGCCACCCCTGGCTACCCCAGGGGCAGAAGACCCTGACAAACCCTTGCTGTGCCCAACAGTAAACCTCTGAAGCTCTGAGCGCACACAGCACCTGGGACATCTGTCCAGAAAACGCTCCTGAGCTGACTCCCTGCTCAGCTCACCACCATACAAATACCTCCCACCACAAAGGTGCAGGGCTGCAGGTCCTCAGTGCACCAACTGCATGACATAACTCCAGGCACCATGTCCTGCATAGAGAAAGTGCCTGTTCCTGGAAACAGTGATTCTGTTCTTTACGTATTGAAGCCAGTTGCTCCAAGACAGAAAAATCCATCCACCAATACCACCCTAGCAGGAGTGCATTAGAGTAAGATGGACACAGGAGAAACAATGCCAGCTCAGGAAAGTTTTTGCAACAGATCGAAATGTGGTATACATTGGACACACCACCCTTCTGTTGCTTGTACTGGCAGAGTCATTCACTGCAGCATCAAGGATGCAGAAAGATGGGCAAGGATGTGTGAAAGATGGACAGTGAGCAAACTATGCTGTGAGGAACAAGTGCAGTGTGTCAGCAGAGTCATGGGGGAAACCTGGCAGGAACACAGGAGGTGATAAAATGCCAGCAGTAACACCAGTGACACCACAGAAGGACCAAATGGCACAGCATCACTGACCTTTTCTTGCAGATCCATCATAATGTGATTGAACAGTCAGGTTTTCTATGTAGGCTGCTAGGTGGTTACATTTACCAAGAGCAGGAGACCAGGAAAACCAATTTCTCCTGAAATCTTGAGGCCCCTTTTCCAAGCTGGCCTCACAATATTTGTTTCAAATCATGTAACAACTGCTGTGGAAGATGATACTCTTTGCCTTTAAAGGAAGTTAATTTTGATGGAAATAGGATAAAACTCCAAATTAGGGCAGATTTACAAGAGCTCAAACAGCAGTTACACCATTTTCTTCAAGGCAGCTTGTACATTTCCAAGTCATGCCTCTGTTACCTGATATTTTATATTACCAAGTCCATGTTTGCTTTTCATTATAAGTTGTAACCCAGTATTGGTACTGGCACAGAAGTTAAGCTTGATGACAGCAGTTTTTTATCAGCTGTGTAAATACTTTGAAAAAAAGTAAATCAAGCATGAAGGAAAGCAAATGTAATATAGTCCTGAAAAGACCAACTTGAATTCTATGTTAAATATAAATACAATTTTAATAGCCCCTGGTTTACTCATTCAGCAGTACAATAAAGGAATTACCAAACACAAAGCAAAGAGAGATTTCACTTTAAGTCTGTTTTTATTGTGATAACATTGTTCTGAACACCAATAAACATTGCACTGAAGTGTGGGTTGCTGTACCCAAGACAGTCTTAACAAAAACCACTGTATTGGTATGATCACAGATTTGACATTTTAAACACTACCTTATTAGTGATTGTGTTGCTTAACAATCAAGTATTCCACATCTTCAAGAAAAAAATGAAACAAATTACTGAAGAGAGTTTTCCCACCCTCAAATTAAACCAACATTTTAACTTTCATCTGGAAGTAATTAACACTGTAAAAAAGTCCCAAACAATTCCTTTTCATTTAGCAAATTTTAACTCTGGAAACTACAGTTTCTTCAGGCAAAAGTGACACTCTAAAGGCATCTCAAATTCTCTATCTATCTGTGATGTTTCATTAGGAATTTGCATTACAGTCATTTAAACAACTCATTCATATGACAACATTTTCTAGAAGACTTGCATGAAATATTAACATGAAATCTCATCTCTTTTGTGTTTACCATAAACGGATTCAGAGTTTGCTTCAGAAGTTCCATAATGGAGTTGACACAAGTGTTAAAATTTTCCAGTTGAAAAGAAAAAAAAGGGTTTTGGGAGGTGTATACTGATGACAGAAAGTTAAGAAGACATGAGCCAGGATTGCACATGCACTTGTATAGTGTTGGGAACGAAAGCCCAATCCTTTGAAGTACAAACATGCTTGGTAAATAAAAAAAAATTAAATCCAGAAATGCACACCCTTTAAACTGCTGATCTTTAAATCATTATAGAAATGGGTAATGTCCAAGTCACTAACAAGTTTTGAATTGCAATGTTCCTTATTTACTCCCAGACAGGTGTCATTGACTCAGCCTTTGAGGGGTTCCAACACTAAGCGGATCTGCATCTTCAACAACACAGTCTTAACAGGGGTGTGCGTGTGCCCAGAGCCAGGCACACTTAAAAGTTCCTCTTTCACAGAAAGAATGATGTAGCTTGCGCTAATTTTACATCAGTATAGCACAACTTGCTCTCAAACATCAGTTTCAGGCCACTTCTCTCCACTAAGGTAATAAAGGACAGGCTAATGCATAATTCTCATTTACCCCCCCTCCATATTAATATTGCAGCACAAGCCCACAGTTTGATAGCAACGAGATGTCTGCTCTAGAGTCAGTAAAGTGCCCAGCAGCCCCAAGAACACAGGTATGCAACGACAGGCCCCATATTCTGTCCCTAAACAGGGTTAACAAACAATCTGAAAAGCTTCAAATACAAGCCAGAGTTAGAAAAACCAAACCCCTGCCCTACTCATATCAGAAAGACTCAACAACACTTACATTTTATCAAAAAAACAAATATCAAATTGTAGCTGTCACAGAGGGGAAAAAAAACCCTTAGATTATTTAAATTAAGCAACCTTTTGGACACTCCTACAATGCAAAGTGACATGTTAACAGAATGAGGAGCTCTCAAAACGACTCACACAACCCCCATTTTCATACCAGCTGAAAGTACATGTATTTGGAGTTATACCTGATACTATTTTTCCACACTTCTCATTTACTCAAGTTCCCACCTTGAAATCCACAGCTTATCTTTATGACAGTCTGAAAAGTTGAAGGGACTTGAAGGAAGAAAACCAACCAAACAAGTGAAAAAAGAATACTAACTAAAAAAGACACAGCCAAACCATGGCAACAATCTGTCCCATTTGGGAACTCATCATGGTTTCATGAAGTGCTTTTATTTTTAGGAAAGCTGTGTAATACCAGGGCTACCGAGAGTAGACTTAAGCATGGTAAAGCAAATTTTGACATCCACAAAAAGACTGTTTCAGGAAAGGCTGCTTCACTCCCTTTATGCAAAATAGAATCTTTAGATAGAATATTTAATCTTGTAATTAAAATACTTTATTATGTTGGATTCTTATTTATTAAAGTATTTAAGTGACTTAAAAGCTCAAATCACATTGATATTCAAAGCACTTGGTGATCATGAAAATTTTAGTTTCTAATGAAATCTATGGGCTAAAAGGTAAGAAAAGGGAAAAAAATACATGGAATGATGTTTGCAAGCTTTTAACGCTGAAAAAAAATACAAGAAAAAAGCGGTAAAATATCCTTTGAGTTGAATTCTGTGAAATCCACTTAAACACTGAGTAGATTGGTGACCAAAAATCACAGAAATTATTCTTCTCACAGTACAAAAAATGAGAATGCCTTTCAATTCACTGACATGCACAACCGTGACAGGTAAGTATCTTTTTTTATCCCACTCTCCTTCTCCTGCTCTGAAAGAGATTCCAGGTTGATTTTGCTTGCCTCAACTCTTTATCCAGTGTTTTATAAATACAGGAATATGCTAGAATTTTATAATGGGGGAAAAAAGTAATTTTAAATTACTTTAAAATTTAAAAATGCTCCCCTTCAAGCAGTTCACCAATTGTCCAGAGTTAGCTGGTGTTACATCAGAACTGTGGGTAAAGACAGCCTGACAATGGAGAAAAAAATACTCCTGGAGGGGTGTAAAATCCTCTAAATGTATGGTTTTGCAGGTAGTAAAACCGAGTGATCTGGTGTTTAAATGATGTTTAAATGACTGTAGTCCTTAAGTGTTTGGGCTGGTAGAATGATACAGTCTCACCACAGTTTTGTCCAAAAGAAGTTAAATGCACTAATTCAACTTAAAAAGCAGCCACCTTTGCCGTCAAGTACTTTTGGAGAAAGAGCAATTAGCTGCTTTTATAGCTGATAAACACCAGAACTGGAATGTAATTTGTTCAGGCTCTGACTGGAACCTGAGGAATGACCAGCATGATGTTTGTGAATAACCCAAAACTTTAAAAGGATAAAAGGAAAAAAAAAAAAGGAAAAAGAAAATAAGGTTTTATTCTGCTCTGCAGCATTTAACCATTCTCACAGCTGGAACCTCACTACTGAGTTGCATTTTCTTCCAGCTACTGAAAACCTGCAATACAGAACTCCAGAAAGACCTGCAGTAGACAATTAAAAAATTAAATACATAATTTGTTTTAGTATTACAATTCCCTGAATATAATCTATACATATATTTTACTGGCCTACACAGCATACACACACATACACATTATCTCTGTGCTGAAAAAGGAAATAGAAATGCCAGTTCCTCAACTCTTACAGAAATGTCCCAAAATTTTTCTTGATGAAAATTTACCATGACACAGCACAGCCTGAAAACAACAAAAGCCATACAAGTGTCTGAAGACAACTTTCATTTTAACAAGCTCATGAAATCGTTTAAACATTGTGTGTAAAAAAAAAAAAAGTAATAAGCAAAATTAGTTTGAGCGTGATTTGTACAAGCCCAGTCTTGTATATGTAACAAAAGGCATATTTACATTTAAAGAACAACTTTATGTCTTCAGAATCCGTCAGGCTAGTAAGGTCTGTACATTTGCTGTATTCTAGCTTAGAAAGAGCACAGTGGTCTTACACTCTGGCTCCTTTCAAAAATGGCCTAAATGCCCTTCTGAACATTAAACCACGTTCTTCATTGATAGGTCTGACATTCTATTTGGCAGTTTCCATACACTTTTTGGCTTCATTTTAGAAAATATCCTTAAGACAACTTAAGAAGAATAATCGATGTTTACAATAAGGTCTGTATTGATGAAAATGCAAAGTCATATTTTACCTCAGCATTTAGTTGCCCTGAAGCACTTGGGTACCATGACCATCAATGATAGGCCAATCTCAAGTGCCTTAGAACGGGTATATAATAACAAGCAATAAACAAACAAACACAAAAATCCACACACCCTCCCACAAAAAAACAGACAGTAGCTTTGCATTTTCTTTGTTTTGAACCAATGAAATTAAAGTGATTTCCTTTAGTAAGACTTACGGTACCAATATATAAATTAGCATCCTCATTAAGAAAGTTCTTCACATTTAAACTGAAGTTGAGTAGCTCAATATGAAATTCCATCTCCTGGTGAGAAGTACTTTTCAGGCCAGGTCATCCATGTTAAGGTCAGGAAGAGGCTCTCTCCAGTAGCAAAAAGAACTGAATTCTGGGCACGGAAATGCAGAATTCTGTTCTTTATTAATCAATGGGAACACATATTCCACAAGCTCACTTAGTCTGTAATACCTGTATTAGAGAAGAAAAACGAATTATTTAACAGTCTAGTTACTGTTCAGCTGTAGCCAAAAGCAGCTATAGAAGTCTAGACCAGAAAGTTCTAGTCAAACAAAAAAGGCCCCACCACTGCAGAAGCAATTTTCAACTTTATTTTGCCAATTTTCATTTTGAAAAGTTTCAATCAAGTATCGAAAGCTGTAAGTATCCAGCAAATAAGATTTTGCACAAGTCTTATATAAAAGGAGATCACAGTCATAAATACAATTATTTTATAATTCCATTTCTAAACATCTTCTTTAGCTGAAATAACAAAAATGGTCTTACGAAGATTTGTTTCCTTTAGTCTGTTCTTGGATCAGTTCACCCTTAGGATTCACAGTAAATATTCTGCAGTCTGGAACTCCCACTTGCATGTAGGCATATACATCCTGCAAAAGCACCAACACAAGTACATGCTTCAGTACTTCCTTATTGAATGTGATAACAAGCAATTTATCAAAGTAATGAGAAAAGCTGATCCAAAAGGCCACAGTAAAAATGTTCCTTAAGAAAAAAAGTCCTCAAACAACAGTAAAATGTCCCCACCCCCAAAACATACACATGCACACTATAATAAAATATTCCCCCTGCCCCCAAATGCCTGTGCCCAAGCCTAGGAACACAAACATGCACAAAGTCTACACCACACAGCACCACCCCCTGTGACAATATTCTTCTTACAATACTTTCTCTTACTCAATTACAGAAGCACTGAGCTGTAGAGAAAATACAGGAACCACACACCCAGAAAAGGGATTCAAGACTGTGAAGCACTCAATTAATGCCCTTAAGTCACAAAGCACTTAAAAATACTTTAAAAGAATTTGGAAAGATGGCTTATATTTAATAAAATTCTGAGAATAATAATGCATCTTTGCAACCTTTCTCATATAAGCAGCTATAGCAACTTTTATTTAAGGTATCTGTATGTGTCTTTTCCTGATCAAACCCATAACAACAGCATGTCCCATTTCCATATTCAAATTTTCATAAACACAAAAAGAAAAGTCTGTCTTGCTTCTCAAGTACATGCATTTTAACCCTTCAATTAGAAAGGGACACTTACATTGGGCCTGTTTCCAAAAGCAGCATAGAAAGGCTGTTTACTGGGAGCAAACAAATTCTTGATATCATTCAAACATTCGATTTTGAACTTCTCAGGCTTCTTTTCTATGACTTCCCTAAAATAAAATTTGAACAGTCAAATTCTAAATCATGATTTGATAGAAGGTATTCTCCTTTCTTCATGTATCTGGTATTTATAGTCTCATTGCTTCCTGTTGCTAGCACTGGTAATTATACAGACAGTGCTAAGTAGCTCTCCAAGAAAAATACAAGAAACAATCAAACATTCCCTCTTTTCCAACATCTACAGTAAAAAAAAAAACAAAAAAACAAAAAACCAAGTGAATACTGTGCATAGGCTAAGTATAAATGGGAATGGAATTCTCAGCTGTGAATGCAGCAGTGAGCTGCTTTTTTGTAGCTATCTGAATCAGAAAATCTAATCAAGTACACTTAAGTGAACTTGTTACAATTCCTGTCTCTGACGAAAGTGCCTGAGGCCCATGACATGAATGGAAGTTGCTGTCATTGCTATCTGTGACAAAATTAAGAAAAAAATAAAAAAACCCCAACAAAAATAAAAAAAACCCCACCACTCCACAACCTCAAACACTTGTTCATTATTAGCTCCTCCCATCAAGAACAGGTAGACTATGGCTGATCCAAAAGATCAACTGAGTTGAACCATACCTTAAATCCATCCTATTTTTAAGTAGATATGGAGCAATCCCAACACCACAAGATCATTTCACATGACAGTCTATACTCCCCAGAATTTTTTTCTCTCTACCTTGTGCAGTATTACTGCACTGCAAACCTTGAAGATATGCTTAAAAAAGACAAAAATGTACTGATATAAACAGAAAATAAGAGTCATCTGTCATGGACTAGATGAATAAAGAGAATGAAAAGTGAGTTCCACTTGGACTGATATGTTTTGTAGTCACTTCTAAGATGCCCACAGGAACAGAAGTATACAAGTGAAATTCAGACAAAACAGAGTTTTTAAATGCTCACTAAAGGGACATCAAGTCTCCCTATCGAATATAGTCCAGAGCTGTAATGCCAAGTATTTTTAACCTACTTTTTCTCTGAAATGGGGAGGGAACTGATACAAGAAATCCCACATGCTTACCTATGAAAGGCAGAAAACAAACTGCTAGGGGACAACATGAGAGGGCCCCTGGGGAGAATTGTTCCTTTGTCATTCACCCAGTGCAGATATCCTCTGGTGATATCTGCCATTCCAATGGCACGGGCAGAACAGTACAGGAACTTGTAGCCATTTCTAGAAAATAAATTACCAATTTAATTCATATTCCTGCCGAAGTTTCTTTGCAAAGGTAAGTACACAGTTACAGCAATGTCCAGAGGCACCAGTTTAGTACTGAATTGTGGCAGAACTCTGCACACACACAAGGAAAAGACTTTTCTATTGCTAAAAGAAACTGCAAGACACATAGTTTAAATACATGACAATCAAAACTGAGAAACAGGAAGTGCAAACAGAATAGGGATGGTAAAATTCAGAGGACACAATTAGATGGACTAGACTGTGTTTAAATAAGTGCTACAGTGGTTTTATTCAGCTTCTTTCAGCCCAGCTGTAGGATGACAGCAATTATTTAAATTATCTGCATCACAAAATAATGGGTGCCAGATCTCCTGTGTTTTTCAGGTTGTTGGCAGAATTTGCAGTGCAGAGTGAAGATGGATAACAACAAGCATTCATTAAGCCCCTAAATTCTTCCTTCAGACTTTGTATGCTCATCTGTTACACAGATTTGTATACAGTTACTGCATGCACAAAAGGCTTGAGTGTTTATGTGCATTTTCAAAGACTTGATTCAATTTGGCAAATAACTCCAAAACTGCTCTTCTGTTATGCACTGAATAAACAAAAAAACCCACCCGAGCCACCCAAACAAAACCAGTAACATTATCGCCTATGAATCACAAGGGGCCACATGAAGGCCAACAACAGATTCTAAGACACCAAGTATTTTTGTGGAAAGAAAGACTACTAAAACACAAAAATAAAAGTTGATTATTTTAATTTAATTCTGAAGTTTCTAACAGTTGATCGTCCTCCATTAGCAAGTATTATTTCTGGCATCATTTTATTTTTGGAAAAAGTTGCTCCAGAACTTAAAATCTAACCTATGGAGCATTCACCTGGCTTTGGAAGCAAACCCATTAAACCAGAAAACACTTGTGCATTGGAAGGGCACTATTTAGTTTTAAATTTATGCCACATGATATTTCTGAAAGGCTTAGTGACCAACCTGAGTCAGTGGAAAACAGACATGCATGTTTGAGAAATGATTTCTATTATGGTTCTCTTTTTTATTAATGAAAATACAACACACAGTTTTTGAAAGCGAAAATGCAGAACAAAATGTTTGGGACGGGAGCTAGTAAAAGTGGTGTCTTGAATTCCTCTAAAAGTATACATCTGTGGAAAGCACCTAGTTTCATTTGTGTATGACAAAAGTTGCTAACTTCCCAGCATTTTGATCAGTACATTTTAATAAACTGCACAATTTTTAACAACTATCCAATTATCTACACATTAATTCCCTTATTCCAGAAAATCCTAATTGTTTCATAGATTGCCTACTCACTCGTTTATGGAATGATAGAGTTTTGCAATGCCCTGATGAGTCCAGTCCTTGCCAAACTGAGGGAGGATATGTCCCAAAGCATCAGACCTAAAAGGAGAATCAAAGGTATGTGACACGTGGTATATGAGTTTTGTTAAATACAACCACTAATTAACATACAATTTAGAAAGAATATTTACACAAACATTTCTGCAGAAGGTCCTAACTATTTAAAAGGAGAATTAATAAGTAGTCCAGACAGAGCAATTAGTGAGGTCATACAGTACGAGTCAATTTCCAAGTTAACTTGTGGCTGCTAAATCTGCAGAAATCAAATAGAGGCAACAATCACATGGTGAATGTTATAATTTTGGCATTATTCTGTTAAAATAAATTTTCTACTTCGCTTTAAAGTGAATTAAATTTAATTAAAACCAAAGCAACATTATTAATAAACACTCTGTAATAGTTGTCTTAAATAAAGTTTCTTTACCTTGTTTTGAAAAGCAGGATAGGATCAATAAAACAAGATGAAAAAAAAAAAAATAGAAAGAAAAACCCCAAGATACTTACTTGGTTATTGTTCCATCAATGTCTGATATTATGATCTTATCATTCCAGTTCCAGAGGTATATTGTTCCTGCACAACGGCAAGTCCCTTGATACTGGGTTGTAATACTAAACACAACATCATTAGGGCCATCTCTGAGCTTCAACTTTGCCTATAGAATACAAATAATTGAAAATATAAGTTGCCTTCCCTCTAAAATTTTCATGATTTTAGAATCATAAATGACCTGCACAAAACGGCTCATACACTCTTCCTTGTCTATTTTGATTAACCCATCAAAACCATGGTTTAACACAGGCACAATGGTTTTGCTGTGCAAGTCTGTTGCAGCTTCAGTACATGTGTATGTCCACAGTTCTTGTACTGCCTACAGCAGCAGGTATTTCACTTTTGCCACTTTAATTCTTGCTACCACAGCAGACTTGCAGCACTAGCAAAATGAACTCCCAGTTTGCCATAGGATAACACAGTATTTTCTACTTAGGGGAGGCTTTCCTCAAAATTCTTCCCTGATGAAAATCATACACTTAAAACTAACTTGTAAATTGGATCCAGTGAATAAACTGCACACCAATTTAAATGTATGCTATTACACAGATGTGAAGATCCCAGGATATCCAAACTGCAGAAGCAAACAATGCCACTTTTCTAGCAACATCTTAATACAGAAGTCTGATTAGGGAACTTCATAGAAAATTACTGTTCCTCAAGCCAAACAGATTTTTAAAAAAATCACAACAGAGAAAAAAATTATCAGAAATTCCCTGCAGCTGCCTACCCTTGCACAGGAATACACATTAAATTTCCTTTTAAAGATTTTGTTTTTAGGATTATGAAGCATCCTATGCACAAGAGAGCCATGTCACTTACTATTTGGTCTGATGACAGTCTAAGTGACTTCTTGTAAGATGTAACATTCCCATGAGGTGGATGCTCTGCTGGGGCAGAATCCATTTTCAGGGATTCCTTCACCTCCTGGGATGCTTCATCACTAGAAGAATCATCCTCTGGAGGCCTAACGTGACATTAACCAGAATAAATGTAAGCTACATAAAATCCTTCTTTAACAGAGTAAGATGCTTATGCCACAGTAATTTCTGCTTATGCTGAGGATTTGCTGCTACCTGATAGTACAGATTAAGGAATTCCACCATCTAGTGAGTGCCCAGATAAAGCCAGGACATGCCAGTAAGCAAGTAAGACTTGGAATGCCAGTACTGGTGGAGCTCTAAACATGACTACTCCCATCTGGCTCCACACACAATGGGTTTAGTAAAGACACAGTGTCAGGTGGTCACTAAGACTGTGTTGATGAATTAGGTAAACTGCAGATGAAAACGGACACTGAATGACACACAAAGCTGTGCTTTGTTCTTAAAAGAAGCTGCCTTAGTTACTATGGCATTTAAACTGTGGGTGTTAGTGGAGTAGCTCACCTTGTAAGGTTATTCACAGACTTATTTTCCTGCTCATTAGAGATTTCAAGATTAAAAGCAGCATTTAGTTTCTCTGAAGTATTAAATCAAAATATATTTAGTTCTTTAAATCTTGAGGACACCAACATTTACAAGTACCTTTGCAAAATCATGCAAGAATATGCATATGCATAATAAATACCCTACAATGGGGGAGTTTTGTGCTAAGCACTGATAGCTGTCTACCACAACTTGGGCAACATGTGCACTGTGATTGATACTATTTTATTGTTTCAATTATTTAATGTTACAAAAAATTCCACATGGTTTAAATTATTAATACAATATTAGGCCTTCACAAAAGAAAAAAAGTATTACAAAGTATATCAGAAACAGTATCACTGTATTTACAGAGCATAGGCCTATTGATAAAGGTTACCATGTATGTGTTTGTTCTGTCAGTTCTGTTATGATTTAGGGAATAAACACAATAGCACTTAGGAAATAACTGTAGTGTATTTGTAGTTCCTACAATGTTTGCTGTCACATTATTTTGCTGAATTGTTTGCTATACACATCTGGATCCTCTTCAGTATTTTACAGGAAAATATTTCTTCCCACAGTACAGTACTACTGAATTCTTCATTCAAAAAAGAAAAAGGAAAAAAAAAAGGAAAAAGGGCACTATTCAGTCCACAGATAAGTCTTCAGACAGGAACACACCTACTATTAACTTGCTCTTTTATAGTTGCTGGCAGTTCATTTGCTCTTTGCGTCTCAGTTTTCCCCTCTTTTGCCTCTGGTATCTAAAGCAACATAATAAAGAACATATTGATATTTTAAGCATTTTAAACAAATCCAAGTTAAAAACAGCTACCAATATATTACACAAACTATATAAAGACTCAAAATCACATTCTACATAATAATTTCTAAAAATTATTTAACAAAAAGGCACTTACGAAGAAATTCTCTATTAAAGCTTTTTCTTATTTCAGGAAACAAAACTCTGTGCCAGAAATTGGGAACTGCTAGTTTAACATGATGAATTTAGCATTAAAAGGAGCTATCAACCTTTAAGCTTATGAATGACTTTTTTTGTGGGGAAATAAGTTTAGGGTCCATACTCAAAAGTTTAGAAAATTTAGTCTAAAATGGGGTGTCTCAGCTTAACTACTACGCAGTGCAGCACCTACTTATTTATTTGTGTGTACATTCCTAAAACATACTGCAGTGACTGAAGAGTAGCTCTGCTACTGGCTCAGAAGAAAGAATTTTAAGGTGGATACAACAAATTTTGTTGATGTAACTAATAGCACCAGGCAATGATACAGTATTTGATGCTAAATAAACAGATGTTACTGCAACATCAGCTGGCCATCAGTGACACTGAGATAAATGAGCAGTGTTTTGAGGCACTTCTGACAAAAACCAATTTTTTAGTCTTTTAAACCTAGCAGGAAAAAAAAAAAAATCACAAAAGTTCTCAGTCACCTGCTTAGTCATGCTTTCTTTCTTGCGCCAGAACCACCACCTTCCAGACTTCTTTGGCATCTTTTCTTTGACCCAAGACTCAACAGTAGCCTGAAAAATCAGACGTGTTTTTAATCAGTATAGAAAAACAGAGATAATCGGGTGTTACTAAATGCAACATTTTCAAAGAAAGTATGCATTTATCTATTTACCTTAGGCAAACTCTTCTGAAACACCTGCAAACTCAGAATCATAGGAGCAGCCAATGCCCAGTTATAATACCTGTTAAAACATGTTATTGGTAAGATATTATATAATTTGTGTACAGATCAATAAATATCAGAATAGAAAACTTGCCCTTGTGTTGATGAAAGTATGTATTTGCTGCCAACAACTAACACTAACATCTTCCGTCAGCAGAATCATTTTAATATATACAATTCAACATCAGTGAAAATTACAGAAAAAAAAAACTCACTTAAGCTAAAGCTAAATTTAATGTAAATCTTTGTTTCAAACAGATTCACACACAAACTGCAATGGAAGCTGAGAAACATGCTCACTTTAGAGACAAGATCTGAAATGAGATTTTCTATTAGGTAATTACATAACACAAAGAATTTACCTGTTATAAATCCGTATTACCAAATTAGGATTGTCTATGAGTCCAGGGTTTTCAGCAAATTCATGATAAGTAATAATATGTTCCATGAATTTTTCTGCAATAGAAAGAGATTTTAATTAGAAAGTAATAGAATAAAATCCCAAGATACCTGATTATTTTACATCTAGGAAAACCCCTTCTGTCACTTCAGAGTCTCTGCTGATCTTGCAGCATCACTGAAGATGTGCTAATTGAGATCTACCTGTCAAGGGTCCTGTGACAGCCTCCTCTCTACAGAAAACGCCTTGGACCACTTCAACAGTCACACTAAAGAGCATTAAGAAATTAGAAGAGGAGGGATAGGGAGGAACTAATTCAGTTCAAAGGCTGGAAATAAGAAAGCCATGATTGTCTAGCCAAGTTTTCTTCAAAAATAATGATGGTGGGTTATTATACTACACTAGAAGAGGTGGGGAAGGGTGGTGTCAGCTTTTCAGGTTTGAAAAACTACTACTATCACTAACTAGCATTTTCACAACTAGTTTCTACATATGTTAGCAGAAATGCATAATTTAGTGTAAGACATCCTGCAATCAAGACATCCTTTTTTCCAATCAAATCCAGTACTACTACCATGTTACCACGAGAACAGTCCCAAGTCTTTATTAATAAACACCTAAATTTCATTTAATGTATTTGAGACTGGATGACCATTTAACAAAATATTAAAACACTGCAGTACATGTCCATGAAGATTTTATGCTCCTAAAAGCTCCCTCAAAAATACATACAACTTCAACAGTAAACAGACTAAAGCATTAAGAGGGAAAAATCAGCCAGTAAAAATCTACAAGTTAACAATCCTTTAGAATAGAAGTAGAAGTAGAAAACACAGTCCAACACAAAGGGTTTTTTTTATCACTTGTAAATAACTGATAAAGAAGAAAAATTATCAGGCAATTGGAAAGAAGACAACTTGTTAGTATTTACACAGGATTAAGCAAGGACTAGCAACAAAAAAATCGATGTAGTTGGTCAGATAAATAATATATAGTACAAAAAAGGAGACAAAAAGCTTCTCCAGATATCAAGCGTTCTTGATTAATATGAGATTCAATTCTGCTATCTCTGCTTGGCCAATGCTTGAGAATTTTAGAAAAAATGAAAGACTTTCTATCCCCTTTTCTTAATGTAAGCATAGAAATATGCCAAAGTTTTGTAAGGAGGAAATCAGAGCATTCAAGCCACTTCATTTGTTTAGCTGCCTGAGCTCTATTCCTCTTTATGCCTTCGTCTTTCACATACCTTTAGAAATCTCTCCATTTTCATTGAGACCTCCACAAAGCGAAAGTGTAACATCAGGCAAGTCCATAGCAGAATCAGACATGCACTCTGTACCACTATCAGCAGCAGCACTTCCCACTGACTGGGGTGACTGGGAACCAGAAAGGGTATCTGACTCTGTCCACTGCCTGAATCCGGGATCAGAATCACTAAAGGAAAGTGAAAAGTATTTTACTTGGAAAAAAAAAAAAAAGTACAGATCTTAGGTTACACTATATGACTAGTCCCCCCAAAAAATCTTGCTTTTGCATTTTTACATTATTTCACAACATAAATTTGAAACGAACCTAACAAAAACTCAGACATACACACCCACACCAATCCTTCATAATATTGGCAGACTGTTTTCAGTTCTCCTAACATTCCCCTAAATTGGGCAATAATTACATTTCTTGCCTAAACTGGATTTAAATGAAGAAAACATCCTCTACATTCTACTTCTGCAGAATAATACTGTGCTCCTCAATCTTTACCAGCAAGTTGCAAAGAAAAAGGAAAAAAGGGCACCGCTTTTAGTGCTTTTAGAACACAATCTGTTGCAAAAAGTACAAGAGAAAAGAAAAATGACATTGTCATTTGAGGTTGGAGTCACTAGTTTGATCCACTGAAAAGTTTACAATACGGCTGAACAAGAGTACTGGTACAAAAGCAGTTTAACGTATTCCCCTCTATGTCTGCAGAACATACAGGTTCCACAAAGAGGAAAACTCTCAATAGTCACTGCCCATGTGTTCTTTCAATGTGTTTCTAGTCAAATTAGAATTTTCACAATGAGATAAGTGTCAAATACTTCATAAAAGCCTAAAAACCTGAAGTCCAATTCTTTTTATCAGAACTGGCCCACAAATAATATATTTAATGACTCAAGTAATGTAACTGCAGAATTACCCCAGATTTACAGCATTTTACTTCAAAATTACCTTTTGGGAAAGTAAAGTGCTGCAACTTCAGGTTCCAAAGCCTTTAGGTCATCCAAGTAAATATCATCAGGGCCTTGATGATGACTTCGTTTGTGCACACCTGTTAATTTTAACAATTAAGATTACTAAGATGAAGTTACCCAGACATGTTAAATACAAACATAATCATGGAAGATTCAGACTTATTTGTATGATTTTTAAGTTCCAGAGTTTCATTATAATTTTAAGCCAGATAAAATTTTAAATAGGAAGAACTGAAAAGGCACATTTATATTTTTTCCAATATGACCTCAAATTTGGTAGACCACTCTGAGGGCAAGAATCAAGAGCTTTATTCCACACCTTTCTTTTTTGAAGGAGAGTCAGCTTTTGCTGTTGGTTTTGTTTCTGGTAAAGGATCCATCAATATTCTGGAATGATGATCACCATCCAATGGCAACGGAACTTGAGGTTCTACGACTGCAGAAGCAACAGAGTCTTTAGCATCCATCTGCTTAAGGAGAGGATGAGTTCTTGGCTCAGGTTTCAGTACTGTACAGACAGAATCTTTCACATCATCTTCGTCTTCAACTTCATCAGAGCTGAGGATGACCCTAAAATGAGTCTTCTCTGATGGAGTAATGGTAGCTGTTCTGCAATGTTCCAGTTTTTCTTTCTTACTTATCTGAAAAACAGAAGTCTAGTCAATCCTTTCACTTCACCTGTTCGTTTTATTCTGTTCTAAATATTAAATTTGTACTCATGGTACAAGTTCTCATCACACAAGGAAAACAGAAAATAAAAAAGAATTGTAGCAATATAGAACAGTCTCACCATATTAGCTTAATTCCCTGCAAAAGTATATTCATAGGAGTTTATTTACAAGTTCAGTAAAGAAACTTGCATAGAGGAACCGCTGACTTGACCAAACCACAGCAAGGAAAAAACATATATGGATTTATCAGCTTCTCCGTTAGATACCAAATTTATCAAGGCTACACTTCCTCTGGAATGAAATAGAACTTACTCTACAACACAGAAAATTAGTTTCTTAAGTTGTTTCCTTCAGGTTCTAACTAAAAGTTCAAAAATTTCAGACTTTCACTGCTAGGTTTTCTGAGATTACTTTGCTGAGCAGCTTTTGGACTCAACAAAGCTGACTCTCTCTGCCTGCCACAAGGGGCTGCTACTTCTCCATTTCAGTTGTATCTGAACAACAGCAGCAGATTTCCAATCCTCTCCTAGGACAGTCTTAAATATGCCAAAACTCAGACATGAAGTTAGAGACAATAAAGACATTTACCTTGGTTGACTCTGGGAATCCTCCCCATGTCCATTCCATGTGAGATTCAGATCTGAGCAAGCTCTCAGCAGGCTTAACTTCTAGTTCTGAATCACTTTTAGGGCAGACTTGCTCAGAGAAAGGGCTACCAAATCAATATGAAAAGAAAAAAAGAAAAAAAAAAAAAAGCCAGTGTTTAAAATGCATTAATGCATTTGTTGTGCAGCAACTGTTGGTAGAGTTTTCAACAGCTTAACAGAGCTTCAATTATTTGGCAACATGGCAAGAAGCCCAGCAGGGTTTTCAAACGGTGAGAAATTAGGTTAAAACCAAAATCACATTAAAGGACTTACATAGTGATCACACTGAACAGATTCCTTCACTGCATCTGCAGCACAGGAATAGCTCTCCCCTCAGCCCATGTTCCATTTTCCAAACAAAACAAGAACAAACTAAAAAGTTTATTGAAAAGTAAGACAGAAAATAGTTCTAACACCCTTACCTCTGTAAAAATGTAGCATTTCATTGCATTGCTATGCAGAGACTTGAGAAATAAAAGTCTTTCAAATATAACTCACAAGTGCAAAAAACAACCCCAATTCCCAATGCAGGAGAGAAAAAAAACATTCAGGAGATAACTTAGGAAAAGGAGATTACTTGAAAACTTCCTTCAGATGTGTTTGGACTACATGACCTTTAAAATCCATCCTATTTTTCCTACGGTGGTTATTATCCATAAATCAGAAACTGACTTCTGAAATTCACTTCAGTCAAGATTACTTTTAAGCCAGAAGAACACCCTACAAAATGCTAGAAAGAAGTGATTTCAAAATCATTTCACATTTAGGATCTTAGAGATTAAAGGAAACACAAGGTTTTGTCTACCCTTCCTTGAATAGGGCAATTATATTACATACAATAGAAATGCTACTCTTTTTACACTTTGACATTCATAACATCTTATGGTTTCAGTTTATATAAACAAACCTCGTATTTGAATTTAAACTACAGGGACCAGAAAAGGACACAGCCCTCCATGTGTGGCCTCACCAGCACTAAGAGGAGAGGGATAATCAAATCTCTGTCTCTGCCACTAATGCCCCGTGGATGCAGCCCAGGATCCAGTCTGCCTTTGTTGCTGCAGCCGTGCTCTGCTGACTCATGCTCAGCTTGCTGTTCCCCCAGGTCACCGAGGCTGCTCCCAGCCACACAGATCCCAGTTTGTGCTGAGCTTTTTGGTTGTGTCTTCCCAGTACAGGATTGCACACTTGTTGCTGCACTTGTTGCACTTGCAATTTGTGACTGGTCCAGGTGCTAGATAAACTCTTTGAGGCTCCCTCTCCCATCAAAGGTTGAGCCAGATGAACTTTTGAGGTGGCTTCCAATTTGGACTGTTCAATGATTGAATACTGAAAATTTTAACTAACTCCCGACAGGTATTTAATTTATGGAATTTTTTTTCCATACAAAATTCCTGCAAAGATTAGTTACCTAATTCAGTACCATATATAAAACTTTCTGAATTTGGAGGATCTCAAGTTATGTAGTATCATATAGGACTAAACAATTCAGACCACAAAAACAGATATTACACAGATCAAAATCCAGTTGGTAAGAATCCCTCATACTGCTGTGAGAGGACACCTCAAAAATCTAAGATATGAGTACATTTAAACATCTCTACAATGGTGAGTTGGGTGAGTTATCATCTCAGCTGGCTTCCAGCCTTCATCATCCATGGACAAAAAAAGAAAACTGATATTTTCCCCCTCAGTTCTCCATTAACAATGTCATACAGAAATCACATTTTCTGTACTGTTAGAAGGGCTTGTTTAAAGTGACACACTAATGAAAATAAATGTACACCTTTGTTTTCAGGAAGAATATGAACTAACTTTCCCTACATGTCTAATAATTTATTCCACCTAGACCACAAGCCAACTGGAAGCCATGCACAATATTAACCTATTTCTAAGTCTAATTGTTAATTCAGCAGTTCCTGCAAAAGATTGAATATTTCAGGGCTTTGGGAGCCTAAGTCTATTCTACTTCCCTCAACATATGTTTTTCACTGTCACTCTCAGGCAGAAGTGTTTAGCCAAAAGGCCCATGCTTGTAATAGTGATCTAATTGTGCCAACATTGCCTGTTAAAACAGGAAGAATACTGATGGCATCAAGTATCAAATAGTTAATGGTTAGGCTTTCCATCTTAGTATACTGAGTAGGACAAACAGAAGTGACCTCATGGAAAGGACTTGTGCTATTTTCTTCCTTGAGCTCCCTGCAAGGGTTCTGAAGAGCAAGACAACCAACTGAACTACAAGTTAGTTAGCTTGTTCAGATCTCCAAAAAGGAGGTTATTAAAACCTCCCATTTCTCTTCCTCAGTACGATAGCTACATGATAAAATCTTTCTTTGATAGCTTAGGAGAAGTAATTTAAAGCAAAATTTCTCTTCTACATGTCAGAGAATCTCTGACCCAATGTCCTCCCCAAAGACAAAAAGGAAAATTGCCAATTTCTCTGTTGAAATGCAATCTGGACTGGGTAGCTTTTTGTTAAAAAAAAAAACCCCAGAACTGTGAAAAGCCTAGGTACCTCACATGAGGCATGAACAAGTTATTACAGCAGACTGGCCCTATAATATATAAATGAGAAGAGATGCATGAATTATCCCTCCCAGATATAACCTGCTAGTCTATGTTAGCTCAGGGTTTTATAAACTGAAAATGAGTATCAGCCTCCATGCTACAGTCACCTAGGTGATACAATCCATACAGCAGCATGTCAGTCCTTAGGGTCACAAACCACAAACCTTTGGGGAACATTTGAAGACTACACTTCATTAAGTGTAATTGAGGATGTGGTTGTGAGCCCAAAACATAAAAAGGAATGATAATGGGATTTCCTGTCCAGCTGCTTCTGTTCATTAACAAGCTATGCACTGAGGGAATTAGCAGGCACCAAGCACGATGTGGTATGTTCTGACTGCAGTGGGGCCTCAGCCCTGCAAACACCTGAAGCAGAGAGATCACACACACTTCAAAAAATATTGGCTGAAGGTTGAACTCTTCTATTCTGCACCACCTATTGAAGCAGAAGAACAAGTATCTGCGCACTGAGCAGGTAACAAGCAACAATGGCCATTATGGAAGGCTGACCCATAATCCTCACTGACCTTGTGAATGTACCTGCTATGAAGCAGATTCCTCCATCAAACTGAAAAGCAGTAGACACTTCAAAGTTCATATGAATCAAGATACTACTTAGTATGCTATGTGAGACATATGCTGTCTCCTGTATGTCCAACGTTCAAGGAAAGTACAAAATTTATCTCAAATACTACCACATATGCGCAAAATGCTTTCTTATGCATACAGAAATTGATGCTGAAGTGGTGAAATCCCAAGTGTGAGCCTTGAAAAATCTACCAAGTGAACGCAAGAGGAATAGCATGAACATCAGAAACTGAAGAATGTACTTGAATGTACATACAGAAATCCCCTGGTCACTGAAAACTGACTGGCAAGTTGTATCATGCCGTTTTGAAGAATCCAGAGTCAACTGATGATTATTTCATTATCTCTGGACAAAGAAAGATACCAGAACTCCAGCAAATCCCCTGTTCTGAAGTGGAATAGGATTCAACTTGAGGATCTAGCTTTACCTTGAGCAATTAGGATTACTTCACACGGTAAAATGTACCTTAACATACTCATCACTTTTGCGTTCTGGCAGATCAAGTATTGCTTATGGTAGGGTGAATCATAGGGAACATACTAGTTTTCCACACCCTTCTCAGCTTGAGGGAATCTTATTAACTGTATTTCCTCTTTTTAACAGTGAAATAATACGTTTTGTAAAACCCCCAAAGTTTCAAATTAATATCAAGTGTTGCATTTGATATCATTTGATATTAGCTAAGTTTCACAGTTTTACAGATCGGGGAAAAACGAATAAAAAGGTATAATTTTTATTATTATTATTACTCATCATTACACAAATGATGACATTATAAAGTGACTTACTTCTCCAGAGGGGACCAGTCTCCATCAGATAAGGGGTAATGGTCCTTCGAATGATAAATCAAAGATTCTTTTTGTTCTTCACCCTTTGGTGATGAATTTGAGGATCCTCTGTGGAGACACATAAGACATTAAGTAAGCTATAAGATACCTGTATTACTAATTCAGTAAAAGAAATTACATAGATGCTATTAAAAAAATCTAAGAGCAAAAGTAAGGAGTGTACAGCTTAAAGGATTTGTTGTTTGCAAAACACCTTCATGTAACTTTAGAAGTATTTAAAAGCTATTATTAATACTTGAAAATAATGCAAATTTGAAAGTCTACTACTCCTGGAAGTTAACACTGAATATATCACAACAGCACAAATGATATTACTGTACATGAATAACAGTGATTTTACTCTACACAGGCAAATAATATCAACAAAACACAAAGATGAACATGAATTTTTACACGGTAAACTTTACGTGGATTTTACCATCACTGGAAAAGGTGAACTAGAAAGGTTAGTTTTGACAATGTACATTTGACAAATTAAAATAGTAAGAAACCAGGGGTAGGTACTAGCATCACATTTTACCCAAGAGCTTACAGATTAACATCAACTACAACAAGGAGATAAAATAATGCACTTTACTGGACAGTGGGGTTTGTTTTGCACTGGGAGTTCCACTCAATATCTTGATCAGCCAACAGTAAGATCCACTGAACAGGCGGCATACACTCTATTTTACACAGAAGTCCCCGTGAAATATCATAAAGTACTTCAGATCTTTTCACAGCTTTCTGAATTTAACTGAATAAACACCTATTCTCAGGACACAAGTAACTTGTTTGAGGTTAGATCAATGGCATCATGCCTATATAGTAGAAAAGAATACACAGAAGACATGCCTGGAATAATTTCAGTGCAAAATGCAATAGAAATTATTTTAAGCAATTAGGAAAGAAAAAACTATTTTTATTCCAGTGCACAGTTGCACTGGATTTGTTTTGGAATGCTAATGCTCATTTCTCTTATGAAGGAAAGAAAATATTTTGCTATTATCAAATGTGTAAATATTTAGAATTTGCATGCCTACTCAATTAGACACTAAGCAGTTACAGTCATCAACTTCATTTGCACAAACCTTTCATTCAGAAGACAGTCTAGGTTATGGTAAATACTGAACTCTAAAAATGTCTTTTTAGCTCCGCTTCTTATTCCACAGCAGTATTCTTATGAAACCTGATGATGCTGCCTGACTTAGATGAGAACTGCAGAGACTGTACATCCTTTTTATTCAAACTAGGCTAAGTGTGACTGAAATATGTTTCATACTATCATTGTTGGCAGTACTAAAAAAAAAATAAAAAAAATCAATTTTAACTGATAAGTGGATGAACACAAGTTAAAAATCCAAACACAGTCAAAGATTATTGAAAATACAAGGGGAAAATCAGTATGCATCAACTTGTATGCATTATCAACTCTAAGCTATTTATTTTGCTACGTTTATAAACAGCACTGTCACTTCTTGTCATTGCTGCCCACTTTACATATAGTCTAAATATTAAATATATAAGATTTCAGAGACAGATAGCCACTTTAACCCTTTAACACCCTTAGAACTGGAGAAATAATGCTCTCTATTTCTAAGTTGTACATACTGTAATCTCAGTCTTCCTGGGTATTATTTTATGTAAGTCTAGCACTACTAACATATCTAAATCATAGCTGGAAAAGACAAAGGACATATTTTGAAAAAAGCTGATAAACACTTGGTAATAGATTTTCCCAAGAAACAGGAAACATCTTGTTTTCTGCTTTATAAAAAACCAAAGAGATAAGACATTATACACTGGCACCTATGACTGAATTTTTGACCTTCCCGTTAAAACATCAGCCTCCCTTTTCCTTTCCTAGTTTCACTTTGAAACTATGCCTAAGAACAGTTAAGTTTCTAATTTCTTATCTTTCTTCGTTTTCAGAGCCACACATTTATAACTAAATAAAAAAACAACCCAGAAAGCAACAAACCAGAACACCACAATCTCAAACAAATCTACTGCTTCCACCTTATATCCCCACAGGTTTTGAAAAGAAAACTTATGAATGCTTTTTCACAACTCTTAACTTTAGCTGGTAAGAAAACAATGCCTACTGCATGCCTATTGCAAGGCATTTTATTTCCTACCCTGGTAGCCCACTGAAATGAGTGTATATAAACTGACACAGAGCCACAAACTTGATGTATTTGGGCCTTCACCATTACAATGTTTTTTTGTTTCAGTCCTGCATTTACTTGCTCTTCACAAGAAAACACCATCCTTTTACAAAATCATCTTTTTCACTTTATAACACCATGTCTGATAATGTATTTCTACTGCTGTTTCTGATTACACACGTTTAAAAAAAAAGTTTAAAATAAAAAGCCTTGCCAAAATTTCATTCTAAAGGGGAGAAAAAATAAAACCAGAATAAACTTGATGAAAACACCATGGTCTGTTCAGCTATGACTAAACATTCAACATTCAGATAAAACACACCAACTTTTATTCACCTCTAGTCAAAGTAAGATAATTGCTAGAATATAAATTTGAATCCTAAACACTGGATGAAAGCAGCAATTAACATGACATTCCTAAATACTTCATATACTTGTAATGACATGTTAAATAAAGAATAAACAATTACTGGGTTATATTTCCTCTCTTCCTTTACTTGACAGTTTATTTTTGATGGTTTTACTATGACAAATTTAACGTCTTAATAGCTACATGTTAAAGACCGAGGAAAGGTCTTTTGTCAAATTGAAAAAAAGGATAAAAATTTCAACCCAAACAAAATGCCAAGACCTAAACAGAGCAGTGAAACGACGATTCAGTGACATAAATATGACACTAATAAAATAAGGCAAATTAGCTAAAAAAGCCATAGACACTCTTAAAAAACACTTTAAAATTCAGATTTTGTTTGTTGTGTTTTACTGGTGACAGGTGCGATAACGGATTCCTGTTTTTCTGTTGCACTAACCTTTTTGTCTGGTATTTGCTGTATTAAAGACTCCTTTGAAAATGCATACTGAAGGAGTTTTTTCAGTTATATTTTATTCTCTTACACCAAAACATTCTTGCAATTCCCAGACCTGACCTTGAATTTATTCAGCCATTATTACATTTAACAACAACACTGTCCAGTGAAAAACACCTAGCTTTCTTTAAAAGCCAAGTCCTGATGAGTAGGCTTTTCCTGGATTTGAAGCATTTATATGCTTGATAGCTTTCACCTATAACCTTAATCTTTCCTGTTACCCTATAGATCTCTTCAGCTTATAAGTTTGTGCTACCACTTTAGCACAAGCTCCACTTTACTAAGAGTTTATCCAATTCAAAACACAGGATTGATTTTTTTCCCTCCTTTTTTCTCACCCTTCTCTTCACATATATAAAGAATTCTCTTTTCTAACATGAAGGGACATTCATTTATATACTTTTCAGTTGCCAAAGTAAACTACAGGTACAGAGAAGCCAAATTCAGATGCGGTGTGCTACAGGCATTCCATACTGCAGTCTATCTAGAGGTTACCAAACATACCAGAAGATCCCTTTGCCTCATCAGAGAAATTACACTGACACTCTCATCAGTCACACAATAGAACATAACACTTCTTCACCAGAATGGGCTTAACTGCATTTCATGTTCATTAAAAAATGGCCCAATTTTAAGGTGAATCAGTGAAGATTTGGAAGACACCTGCTTGGAGTTTTGTTTGTTTGCTTGAGGAAAGGCCTAGGCAGAGCCTACCAAAACTTGTGCAATACTTGCATGGAGGAAATGAACAAGCCACCTTTTAAATGTTCAGTAACAACAATGGAAACAGCAACTATCTAAGAGCTTACCTTAGGGGCTGTACACTTTTCTCATCATCTGAGCTTATTTCCATTTCAAAAATGTCTTCAGTCCCAGCAGAAGAGATCTGATCTTCTTTCCTGCTATCTTGTTTGTATTTCTTCCTTCTTCTTTTTTTCTTTTTCACAGAACCGGGAGTGAATACAGTCTCTGTTTCTCCAGAGTGTGGAATTTCTGAGTTTGCACATGTCCTCTCATTTTCACCTGATTTCAAATGATTGTCAGTGTCTTTAAAAAACTGATCTTCAGTGGGTATTGGAGATGTTGCCAAATAAGCAGGAACTTTTTCCTAGGGAAAAAAAAAAAAAAAAAAAAAGCTATTTTTTTTCCACTTTCTTTTGTCCAGACAGGGTAGTTGTTAGCTACGGATTAATCCTTGTACCTATATTTAGACACAAAGCCATACAGATGCCCAATGGTATGAAGCTGATATCTAGAAAGGAACAAAGTTCACTAAGAGTGATTACAAGAAGTTCAGAAAAATGCATGTTAGTATTCTTACAGTTTTCAGACACAAACTGATTTTGCCAGCAAAGCAAATACCCAGTCAGCGGAATGTTTTTGAAGTTGTCTTCCCTGAGCAGGCCAGTTCCATGCTTATTAAATGTGTTAATAAAAGAAGGCTAATTAAATCCACTCTTGTTTATTCTGAAACAGATTCATGGGAAGGTATAGGTTGAAAGGGACATCTGGACACCATCTGGTCCAATCTTCTGTCACAAGCAGGGCCTCGGGTTAGGTCATCCAGGGCCTTGTCAAGCCAAAGGTTGACTATTTCCAGTGATAGAGGGAGTCTATCACTTTTCTAAGCAACCTATTCCTGTGCTATATTGCTTTTGTACAGAAGGATTTTCCTTTTATCTAGCCAGTATTTTCCCTGTGCCCTTGGCCCCACCTTACAACTAGGCAGCCTTGTGAAGAGAGTGTCTCTGTCTGTTCTGTAACTATCTCGTAGGTACTGCAAGACTGTGATTAGATTTCTCTGAATCCTCTCTAGGCTCAGTAGATCAAGTTCCAGCAACTTTGTTTTTCTATTTCAATTTCTCCAGCTCTCTACCGGTCTCTCTCCAATTTTCCATGCCTGTCCTGAACTGGGAATGCCAGAACTGTGTTCCAGATTTGATCTAACATACACCAAGCTGAGCAGGACAACCCCACATCCCTTCACCTGCTGCTGTGCTATTGCTGATGGAAACTGGGACATATTTGCCTTCACTGCAGCCAGGGCACGCTGCTGGCCAGGTGATGCAGAGCTGCACTTCACCCAGTCAGATCCCAGCCTGCACTGCTGTGCATGCCAGCCCATACTTCCAGCCCTTGTGTGAGACTGCACACATATCTTGGTTAAACCTTGGTGTGAATCTTGTTGGTCCAGTCTCCCAGCCTGCCAAACTGGCTCTCTGTGGTGGCTCTTTTCCTGACCTGTCTACCTCTTCTCTCAGTTCAGTGTTACCCACAAAATTGGGGAAGGTGCCTTCAGTCATGTCATACATGTCAGACTTTATTTAAGTAAAGTATCTTTCAAAAAGAAAAAGTCAACTATAATTTACTCACCTTAACACCAACATACAAACAACCAACCCTCCAGTAATGACAATCCACTGCTCTTTGAAAGAAAAGCTTTAGCTACAGACTGCCTGAGGTTTATTTACATTGTAACAAGAAACTGAAAAGACATTGACACCTAGTCTGAAAGAAACACACTGTGAAGGGACAAAGACAAGGTGGAAGAAAAGCAGAAGAGAGAAAGTTACCGAACTCAATTTCATGGTAGCAAATAGAACTAATTACAAGATTTCTGTTATTTTACTGGACTCTTGCAGAAGGTTAGTCAGGAACACTGACGAGGTACAGGCAGAGCACTGATACAACTTTTGTTGTGCTCTAAGTCTTATCTGCTATTTAATACTAAATTCAAATTTTCATTGAATTAAGAATTACAGAACAAACTTTGTTCCACTGGCTGTAAAGTAGAGTGAAGTAGAGAAAGGAGAACAAAATATAGCCTTGAACAACACTGATAACACACAGATTTTGCATTGTGAAAAGCCTTGAAATAAAATGCTAGCACCTAAACTAAATATTCTACACAGTGATTAACAATCAAGAATAACAAAATAAGTAAATAAAGTGCTCCGGAAAATCTAAAAGAAAACTGGCTGGAAAATTGTCCTGATTTATGTGGATTGAGGTGAATGGTATTACTTCTGAATGTCAAAATGTGGAGAATGCAAAGACTGAGTCCCTAAAGTACCTTTCCGAATCCTGTCCAAAGGGGAAAAAAAAATAATAAAAAAAATCAAGAGAGGTTTATGATTTACCCCTTAAGCATAGCTTTAAGAGGCCAACTAAGATGCTGACCAGTTGGAGGGAAAAAAATGCCTAAAAGCAGTAAAAATAACTCAGTTTTGCTTTGTAGCAAACTTGATCAATATACTCATTATGAACTACCAGCTTTCATGAGCACATTATATACAGATAAGGCACTCCTGTTATAAATCAAAATGTACTATGCAAGTGCAATAGCTCCTTTAAAACACTGTACTGGGGACAAAGACAGTGGTTATCACCCTTGGTTTCCGAAAGTCATAAGACTGATCAGTTCCCATCAACGTCTGACACAGCCTAGATCTGTAAACAACTGCTTTCAGTTTTTATTTTAATCATGGTGTATCAAAACACAGAACCCAACTTTCCTTTTGCTGAGGTGTTACAAAATCCCAAGCTGTCCTTTGGGGTCTTAATGCTTATTTTTTCCTTCCACTTTAAACTGTATTTAACTCCTTTCCACATGACAGCTTCCTCTGATCCCTCACAGTAAACAAGCAGCACCCTAAACTAAAAACTGGATCAGTCTCATTTCCTTGAAAGACTGATTTGTAATAACAAGAGGAAATTAACACTTTGTATTTTACTTCTCTGACACAAATATTTTTTCTTTCTTCTGACTATTTTTCATTAAATCTTTTGGACCCTTGTATTTAGAACTTTCCTTCAGACTTGCTGAAAAATGCCAACAGACTCAAAAGCAATCAAAAGCAATGCTCAGGACTGACCAATACCGTGATCACTTAGCTCCCATACCCTTAGAAAATCAGAGTAAAAATGAACCATTATTCCTGTTCTTCAGAGGCTCATTAGCTTCCAGTTGCAAAAGATTCTTGGGAAATAAATTCTCAAGTCAAAGCAGTTACTGTTACCTGGTAAAAATTTCATAAATAAAATTGTGAAAAACTAAAATCTGTAAGGCAAATTAAAAATATGCCCAAAAAATAGATTACCTTTATTAGTAGAAGCACTAGCTGTAATAACTTGAAGCAAAAACTATTTTAAGACACTGCAATCAGTATAACTGCAGTCAACAAAAATGAATTAACTAAAGCAAACAAAAAGTACTTCAGCACATCTTCCAAATAATGATCTAATTAATGAAAATAATTAGTTGGTTTATTATTACTGGCAGCAAAATTGCACAAAGCACAAAGCATCTTGGCAGCATATGAAAGAGATGTTAAGATTCAGTTACAGAAAATCTAGCTTTCACAGAAGTGAGGATATTGACAACACTGCATGAAGGACTTTTAACCCACTACTATGTTATTACTACATTGTAGTCATCAAGAAGCACAAAGTCCTTACATTTTCCTCCTCTGTTTCTTGCACAAAGAAAGCTTCTCCATTGTCACCCAATTTCATATGAAGATCAACAGCATCGCCATTAATTTCTATATCAATCTGTGGAAAGAGACAATTGATTGTAAATAATTCATCATGGGGAAAGTGCTGACCTCATGGCCCACTTAGCTCTGAGAGTAAACTTTGTTTCAATGTATAATGGTGTCCCTTTCTCCTCTGTATGACACAAGTCTGTCATAATGGTCTTTAGTGTGTTCACCTGCAAAATACATCACACTCTTGGCAAAGAGCCTAACATCCACAAGAAAAATAAGAAAAAAAATAAACTTTATATAAAGACTGGATCTTGTTCAAACAATTATTGATATAGTCTTTATTTCATGGAAGAATGACTGAGACTGTTCAGATGTTTAAATCTCAATCTGAATTGAGGCCTGGTATGAATCTGAATCCTGAACACCAGAAATTCCACCTGGAATCCTCCTGGAGGCAGGCTTTGTCTGAAAGTGATAAGAGACCTGCTACAATTATTTCTACAACTCCAGTTAGTGTTTCAGATTTTCTGGCTCATGAGTTCATGGGGGTATGACAAAGGACCACAACCCTTCTGCAACTACAGTGTTTTTGTCAGAGAATAATGTTTTTATTCTGCTAAAAAGATACTTTTTAGCCAAGAAAATCCAGCCATAGGAGATGATAAATTAGGTAAATAACCAAACATGCATGGGGACTATACCCAAATCCTTAAGAGAACTACTTTTCTTCTTCATTCACCACAATAACAGACTGATTTTGATATGAAAATCATATATATTTCACTACTGTTCATTTTTAAAATATTTTCAGCAACATGAGTTTAAAAAAAACCTCACCTTTTCTTTATTGCTGGTTTAGACATACAAACGTCTCTAATTTTAGTACCTACACCTCACACTGGTATCTGGAGACCACCTTATATACCTGAGCTGAAGCACAGATAAGCATACTTTGTGTTCCCACACATCTTGGGACTACAAATTGATCTTGGCCTCATAACATGCCAGAGAAAAATGCATTCACAATGCAGTAACAAACACCCAACTGACTATTGAGAGAACTATATGAATAGTAATTCCCAGGATGGAGGAAACAAGGAGCAACAGTCATCTACACAAGCAAAAGCTGAGAATTACACCGACAGTCTAGTACAACAGGTACCAAGAGTACATGCTTCTACTATTCAACAGCCTTTTAGAGATACCCAGAAGCTGAAAACCTCTCAAATTTGGTTCAGCTACTCAGAAGTGTACAAAGACATTTAACAAATTCGAATTTCAGACCACTCCCGTTGTAAGCATATCTCGCTTGCCTAGACGTCAGAAAAAGTACTGCTATATCTCCTCTTTTGCACCCTGTTGGAAACTGTAATGTAATCTGTTACAAAATTGTTAAGGTAAATAAATTCTTTGTCATCAGCAAGCTTGTTGAAATAAACACTAACAAGTGAGAAATCAAGAAATAAAAAAAACCTGCTACTCATCTGTGTTACTATGACAAACATACAACTTTAATGCATGTAACTCTAGCAATTGACAAGTAAGAAAAAATGCCCTAACTGCTCTTTCAGTTTCACTTTATTCTCTTTTTACAACCAAAATATAAAGATAGGGGTAGCTTCCTGCAATAACCATTTACTCCTTAAAAAAGCAGAATATAATCCTGAGCGTTTATGTCCTGTTTAATCAATTTGTCTTTTGGTAGCAGACTCCCATGTCATACACACATTCTTTACTGACAGTAAAGTACCCCTACAAGAGCTCCATTTTCCAGCCAACCCAATCCAACTCACTCTCTTGGCATGATTAACAAAGCCTATGAAAGAGGCTGGAAGGACAATCTGCTTGGGGAGCACCACCTTCTCAGAATGGCTGGACTGGAAATTGTACCAAGCTCTCTTTCAAACACGCCCACACAGGAATGAAGCTTCAGTCTCAGTTTTCACTTGCTTGTGGATGTTAATAACTGCATTTTCTACTGCAAATCAGCCTTGAACACAGCTAACAAGAAGCAATATTTATAATAGGTCACCAACACTTAACATATGCTCTGTTTGTCCTTCAGACATTCCAAAAAGAGTTGCTTACATCAGGGATCAGTTAAATAGCATTAAGCATTTCTTTTCCAGCATACTTGGATAAGTAAATAAATAGCTCCACGTCAACATTTTTAAACTGTGAAGTCTATATATTAATATTTGTCTTTTTGCATAGGCCCAGAGCTGTCACTGTTTTTCTTTCACAGCATTTTTGCAGAGTTCTTAGATTACCACAAGAAGTTGTGTTTTGCATTCCACAACTACCACCTTGTACAGCATTTATGAGCAACTGTTCTGGATTAAACCAGTCTGCTAATTGGGAATGTGGGGAGCTGAGGAAGGGAAGGAAAAAGGAAAAAAGGAATGCACTGGTACTCAAATCTTTGTTTTGACCCACTTTCTGAACTTACCACTTTCTCTTTAGAGCGCAGTACACCAAGCTTCCCAAATCGGACATGGAAAGGAGAACACTGGTACGTCCCATCCTGCTGCCGGACCACGATGACATCGATGCACCCCGAAAGGGTTGCCTGATTAATGCCTTTGTACAGCTCCTTCACAGTAACCAAGACTTGTCCTGCAAGTTGCCCCACGTAGTTCATTGTCTGAAACTAAGGGAGAGAAAGACCAAAAAAAGTAAGTAAATTTAAAACACAATAGGTTTTTGAAATGAATTTTTAAAAAACATTTAAATAGATGTGATACGCCATTTATCAATTACTTTATTGTAACAAGCTTTACACAAAGGTTTTCAAGAATCTACAGAACTTTGAGGCAATTCTTGTATTACTAAAAGTACCCAGAGTTATAAAACCTATTTCTAATGCTTTATCATCTTGAATCTATGACTAATTAAATACTTCAAAGAAAATCTTGAAGCATGTCATTTTTAGACCTCAAAGCCTAAATTTAAGTGATGCATAATAACTCAGATAAGCTAAAAAGAAAAATTCATTCTCCTGAGGACTGCCTATTTAATACAACCGATCCTATATTGTAAAAGGAGATAATTGTACATAAGGATGCAAAGACATAATTTCAAGTTGGGAAAAAGTATGTAGAACATATTGCATGTAACTCTTCCTTTACAGCTCTGTACTTCAAAAATGGCTGAGTCATTTTAGAGAAATTATAAAAGTATGTAACGGGAGAAAAGAGACACATATTAAGATTATGCTATAGTCAAACAGGATAAAGAGCACAGAATCACTTTTTGAAAATTCTGCCTAATCCATTAAAAATACTTAGGTAAGTGAATGAGTTCTGAATGACTGCAGGTCTTTCAGACTAAGAACTATTTGAACTATGACTCCCAATAAGAAATGAAAGTCCAAGGATTTCTCAGAACATCTGAGCCTTAACAGAAAGAGGAGGGAAAACTGTGAAAATGTTCTGATAGAAGCCTAAGTGCAATTCTTCCTCATTTCTACCATCTCCTGCCTCCCACCCCGAAGTCTGCTACAAGCTCATTTCAAAAACATTCAAGCAACTGCAGCCACTGAAGTTAAGGACATTTAGAAGAACAAAGAACCACTGCCAACAAGCAAAACCCACAACACTGAAAACACAAAAGAGGCTAAATTATTTTTTTAAAAATCCATTTGGGGATATTATTTCTAGATAAAATCTGCGATTATTTTTTTCTATTTGCATTTCTATTTTTATTAGTCATTGAACAAAGTTTAAGATTTTTCTTAATATCTCTAAACAAAACTACAGTGTTACAACAGATCTTCCTACTGATACTGCTTTATTGTCTATATAACCAATGAGTTATTTCTCTTTTGAGCCTCCAAAGTCTTTCTTACACTAACACAGGGTATCTTACACCCACCCAGAAGTGACCACTTTTGTGGCATCTATATACTGATATAATTGTAAACAGGCAAGAAATCTAAAACTACTTTCACACTTACAGCAGCTATGGAAACATTTTTCTCATCTCAGGCTTCTTATACTTTACCAAATCATACTAACATTTAAAAAAAAAAATTCTTTCTCTTCACAAGACTTACAACGGAAGGTGTAGGGTTTCCTGTATAGATTTAAAACTGTCTTGAAATTATCCACAGAATTACTATGCTAGGTAACATGCTAAAGAATTTTTTTTCCTGTAGACTGTCGATGAAGACAAAAAGAACAGACTGTCATTGAGTGAGTAATGAGATTAAGAGGATGGACTCTATCAACATTAGTCATTAATTCAATTTCATCTATAAGTAGTTCCACATACAACTATAAAACTGATTGCTTAATAGTGAATAGCTCATCCCTGCTAAAGAGGGAAGGTCTCACTTCAACCTTTCCTCGTCTGACCCTCTTAATGAGCTAATTTAGCTCTGACACAGCTGGCAAAAGTCTACATTTTTTTGTTGTTGTTTGTTTCAGTGGGTTGTTAGTAAGTTAGATTAACTCATTAAGCAGAACATGACAAACACCTGAGTCAAGAGGTGCTGAACAGCACCAGAGAGCTAGGGGAAAAAAAACAGAAAAAGAGGCAGGGAACTGAACATCTCTGCGATAAGTGAGGTACTTGCTTCATCTCAGGAACTGTAACTCAAGACAGAGGATACAGTATCTCTGCTTTCCTGTTGAATAAATTAGTCTTCACCTAATATGACAGCCATGCTTAAACTCAATCCCATGGAAGAAAAAAAAATCTTTAACGCATAATCATTATCATTCATGGCTCTACCTTGGCCACTTCCAAGAGCTGTCCACAGTATCAGCTTAGAAAGAAAAGTTGATTTTGTGTCACCAAGGAGACCCCGTTTGTTAAAAGAAATATCTGACACAATCAGGAGATTAAAAACTTTTATTAATAGGGTCTCCATTCCGTATACTTCATTTCAGTGACCAGGACCTGAGAAGCGGGCATTAGCAATCTACGATTTAAGCACTGACTTCTTAAAAGATAAAAATTTCACACCTTCTGCTAAGTACTGAGTTCAGATGATAAATAATTTAGTTTTTCTCACAGATATGCTAACTTGACCATAGACATTCACCACACAACCCACACAAGACCAAGCTTTTCTGTAGCAAGAAGATCCTGTAGCAATGTTATCTCTTCTCCAGGTATCGGTTTCATTTTTCTGGCTCACAGCACAGCCACTTTTATGAACATACACTGAACAACCTCTTGAACATTTTAAAGTTCATAGCTGGTTCATTCTTACACATGAAAAAGCTATGAACTTTTGTACCTACTGAGTATTAAAAACATTGCTTATAAGGAAAGTAGCTTTTTATGACCCATGTCTGAACGTAAATGTTGTTTTCTACATTGCAAGTAAACCAAACTAGATAAAGGTAATAAACTAATGCACATTATTGCTTACCAGACTGCAGTTCAGCTTTTAACATAATGGTGCACTTTGCAAGATAAACACGTTATATAAGAAGGTTCAAACTGAAGCAAGAAAATTATCAAATAGAAATGCAGTGTCACTGCACACCTGAGAAACAGGTCATTTTATCTCAAATGTCAGTAGAAGCCTAGCTGAGAGATTTTAAAATTTGGGGGTTAGGATTTGGTTTGAGCTTTGTTTAGGTTTGTTTGTTTTCCTTAAATTGGGGGAAAACTTGTGAACAGTACAGAGTCAGACTACAGTGAGAAAGGAACAGTATAAAATGTTACTGTGTTAATTTTTGCAAATGCAATAGAAATATCCTGATCATGGCATAACCAGTAAGACAAAGTACTTCCTCGATAATACTCTTTACTTCATGCTTAGTAAACATTTCTTAAATGTCACTGCCTTGAAATTAGAGAGCAATATGCCTTCCTAACCTCCTATAAGAACCTAAAGAGCATGCTGATTGCCAGTTTGGAAATTCAGGAAAAAAGCCTGATGGAAAAGACCAACTAAGAAAGGCAAGGCAGTAATACTTCACAGTACTGTTTAGCTTTTAAGTTGTATTTCTTTTGATATCCAGAATCTATACATTGCCTGATGCAGTGGATTCCAGAACTCTGCCTAAAAACTGAGGTTAGTGCAGCTCACTACTACTTACTCTTCTCAGACAGCAAATTAAGAGGCCATGAATACCTGAGGTTTCAAAGCAGAAACATTCTTTGCGACTTCTGAGGCTCCAGAGAGACTGATTTTTTAATATTTATGCAATACTACCTAGTTTGCAAAAATTCTTACAGCTGAATAATATTAATACCACTAAGCTAAGTGCAACCAAAACTGGAATGGGGGAAATAATCTCTATGTCATATCACGAAAATAATTTTTTTTTTCTGGCAAGAAGCCATTACACTGCCAAAAGCAGAAACTGAAAATGCTTTGGTTTTTTAACTTTCTTTTTCTGAGAGAGCACAAAAGTAAATACAAAATAAGAAAAAATATCTACTTCAGAAGTTCAATAACTAAAATGCTGCGCCTCCACTTATAAAATACTCAAATCAGTGCAACTAAAGTTAACACTGAATATGTTGTTTGACTTCCTCATGTTACAGCAATGGCTTTCAGAAATAAATACCGCAGAGTATCTGATATGCTTGATACGACAGACAAGACAAATTTTCAAAACTCATTACCAAGAAACGCTTACATTAGCATAACCTGAGAAAGAGGTTTTGTGGGTAGGAATTGTATCTCTGTACCATTAACAAAGATGTTATTTTAGCTGCCACTAGACCGATATGTTTTCTTTAGCTTTTTTTTTTTGTGTGTGTTATGCAGTAATATCCATATAGAGGTGCAAGATGTAATCAAAAGTCTGTCCACAATAGGTGTTTTCTGTGCATATGGAGAACGGCTTTACTAATGGTAAACTGCACTTTTTTGGTTCTTAAAGCCATCACCTTTTATACAAGTACACCCATATGAACAAGTGCCTAGTTCAACAAGAGAAAAAGAAGAGCGCAAGTTGCTCAAAGGCAAGATATCAGCTTGCTCTAGAGAGCTACAACTTTAGATGGCATGAATATTAAGTTTCACTGAAAAAAAAAAGTTACTTAGAAGCAGATCTTAGCTTCCAGGAGAGCAGATATTCATACATTCCACTTATTTTGAGATACATTTAGAGGGTTAAAATACATCTAATGCCACATGATGTAAACAGCAAAGATGTTGTATTTGTTTCAAGAGATTAGGTAGAACAAAATAAACATGCAGAGCAGTGGTTTACCTCAGTTTATCTCATTTTGTCTATATTTGCATACATATAAATTTATGAAGCAGAAGCTTTCCTTAAGCAGAGAAAATCTTTAGCAAGTATTTTACTAGTTTCTATTTTGTACCCTAGAAAAACTGGGGGGGAAATGACCCTGTCAAACAGGACCACTGCAGCAACATATCTACTCAACAAAAACATCTTTGTTCCCAAATAAAGATTTCAGTTGGGGGTTTAGGATTGCTCCTAGTAGTGTACAGAGTAGTTATGGAACAAAAACGGGAAACAAAGTAAGTCTGTTGAATGCCTAATTAAAGTCTTCAACATACTAATAAATATAGGCAAATAAAATAAAAAATAAATATTTTAACTGTGTTATAGGAAATTATATACCCATATTTAGCAATAAATCTGTCAAACTCACCAAGATTCCAGAAGGAACCTTTTCATGAGCAGCAACATCACTTCTATTTGAGTCATCTTCAAGAACATCCTTTTCTGAGTTATGCATCTCAGAAAACAGAAAACTAACTTTCCACAATACAGGTAAATGAAAAAACTACAGCCATAAGAAGATGTTGTAGCAGCATTTCTTCTCTTCTCATAGAAGCAGAAGAACTATGTAAACCTTCTGGTCTCTTAGAGGAAACTGCTTGGTATACATTCCCACGCAGAATTACGAGTAAAAAGGAAGTGCTTCTTTAAGAAAGCTCACACAGAAACTCCCTCACCAATAGGCTTTGCTCGACACGTCCCAGCCCCCTCGCACTCTCCCAGATAAGTAACAACATGGGCTGACTTTGCCATATGTTTGCACTGATAGGTGATGATCTTGGTTTGCATCACGTCACATGACCACAGCTGAAGCTCCCACGAAAACAGGGATTTAGTTAATGATTCTTAAGCAAAGTCTACATTAGCTCACTTGGAGACTTTTCACCCACTGTTGCAACTCCAGCAGTGGCAGCAGCACTCAAAGTCCTGGCTCGGCCCAAGTCAAGACTGCCTGCTGACACTCCATGTGCTGCTCCCTCTGCTGATGGCGTCACTGGGGCAGCCAGGCATGTTTGATACAGCAAATTTCACAACATTTCAGGGTCTGCTATTTGCAAACTTTTCTCCCTCTTTCTTGAAATTTAAATTACATAATAATAGTAAAGAGACAACTGACCTGGTGTCAAGTTTACACCAAACCATACAAAATCAATGCACAACAAGATGAACATTTGTTTTCCTGTGGAAATTTTCTTGCTTTCGTCAAACAGAATTGTAAAGCAGTATAATGTGAGTGCATGGACAAAACATACAAGCTTTTCAAATAACTAGCTCCATTACTCAGATTAAGAATTGGTTTTTCATCTGAGGAATTCTGAAATGTCATTACTTATGTAAATAAAATAATGGATAGGTGAAATAACTTGAAGAAGAGAAGCAGTATAAGGAACCAAAATTCTGTCCCAAAATGCGAGAAACATTGTCTGAGGACCCTCAACACAGACAAGTTCTCGCCACCCTAAACCCACGCACCTCCTTCCCACCCTCACGGGGTTACTGTGTGTCTGCTCAGAAGACTCTGGAGGATTGCTTCTTGAATTACAACCTTAAAAAATTATCCAGGACCCTACTACTATTCCTCCTCTACGTTTTGTAAATTCACGTAAAAGACTTCAACTCAAGGACAGTGAACCACATTATACAATGCAGCCAAATAGCTTGTAGGTTTCCAAAACAATTAATGAACTCAAGTCCAAAACCATATCAATGTCCATGACAAAATCCTAAATTGAATGTTGAGATTGCTATGTCTGCAGTAAGGTTGCAATAAACTGCTACTATCTCTGAGCCCTTTTCTATACATTGAATAAATTCATATTTCATCTGGCTCTCACGGGAAAAACTAATGGGTTTTTTAGCAAACACAACAAGTATTTTCACAGAATATTAAGAATTACTAGACACACTTCTTCCCTTTCATCATTCCTTTATCCTGCATCTTCCATTAAAATACAGAATAAAACATATCATTATGAGCAAAATGGAAGCAAAATTCATAAGCCAGTGCTTCTTTTCAGACACTATTGACTGCATTTTATGGTGGGTTTTTTTTCTGTGATATCTGTACTATTTCAGTATCTTTCAGTATTTCATAGGGACATTATTTTCTTCAAAGCTTATAGAAGTGTTTTAGACAGCAGTGTTTCTAGAATACAGATAAAATTGTGTCACTGCAGTAAGGTAACATTTAGGCAGGTAATAAGTTTTGTACATTTTGTTATTCCTCTTGTCTTTAATTTCTCAATATTAGTAAGTTAAATAAAACATAATTTCTGCTCAGTAAGTTGAAGCACTATGTTATGTGCTTACAAGTTGCACAGGAAAATTTGCTTTTGTTTAGAAAAGCAAATACCTCGAATTTGGAAGTCTTAGAAGTTATGTTTTCCATACTACCTTAATGAAGCTCTTTGGTGTAGGTAGGTTTTCCTGTAGTGTAGTCTCAGAAAACACTTATGAGGTTTTTCACTAGACTCACACAAGGTAATAATGCTGACAAAGATCATTCATCATCCTATGTTCTTTCTCTGACCTGCTCTTTGTCGGTCTACACATTTTATACTGTTGCCCGTGAGCCAAAATCCCTGATGGGAAGTGTGATTCTATTTTTAAATCACAGTTTTCTGCAGCAATCATCATAATATATTTGATTGCATTTCATTTAGTTTTACAGCATCTCAGAGATGCACTATTTTTTTCACCTATGCAATGAAAAATTCAGGATAGATTAGAAATTTAACATGTGGGGGATTTCATCACATTTAGAACTTGATTTTTCAGGCATTCCCTCTTTTTTTTACCTCTTTGCACATTGCCTCAATAAGCTACATTTGCAGTTGCAAATCAGATTTCTTTTTAATGACCATCTGGGATATGTAAAAGTCTGACTGCCTGTGAAAATGACATTTAAGTGATTACTGGATTGTATTGTATAGGAACTGTAGAACAACCACCACCAGAAAACAGCTACAGGACATTTCCCCAACTTTCATCAGTGCATACCATTCTGAGTTCTGGAAGGAAGGAGGCACAAATCCTACAGTTTCTATCAGCTCACGATCCCAATTCACTCAGAAATCAGAATAAATATGCCAAGACAAATGAATGGACCAAATCCTTCTCCAATGAACATACCCTAATAGATAGGGCAAGAGCGGGACAACCTTTGTTCATGTTCCAATTGTCTCCTTCACCCCGCCTTGTCACACGTAATTTTACTTACTATCAACCAAAAATGAAACACCAAAGTTCTCAACGTCAAGATGGGGTGTGACAATTCTTAGTCTCACACCCCATCCTGACACTGGAAAAGGTCCTTTCTCCACAAGGTTCAACTCCAGTTCCAAAATTCCAACACATCTCGATTTTCACACACTTTTACATTTTGCTTATTAAGCGTAACAAAAAAAGTAGAGGAGTTGCCATTCTCCTACACAGATCACAGAAATCAGCCTGGGGATGAAAACACTCTTCTGTGCCCAAGTTTTAGTCCCAGGCCTGGTCTGAAACATCTGCTTACTGAGACTGGAAATAAAGCTCTGTTCATTCCAGATTGTGCTGAAACACATCCAGCACATCTCTGACACTTTTAAGTACAAAATTCTATCCATTCTCTATATGGATGCTTAAACCTAATTCAAAGATTATTAACTTTGCTAAAATAAAATAAACTTTGACATGACTTTGACATGACTAACAGAAAACACACTGAATAAAGATTATCTGCCTCAGATGCATCCTGAAAGGGACATATGAATTTTCTAAAAGAAATTAGCTAGAGTTTTTCCTCTAGCAGAGTGGAAAAATACCATCAAGTGCCTCTTCTTATTAAAAAAAAAATATATACTTGCTAGGATTTTTCATACAAAAGCTGAAGGCACCTAAAATATAGCATGGAATTAAAATTTTCCATTTTAGCTAATTACATGCAACTAGAAAAGAAATTCTGTTCAACAATGTTGAAAAACACTACTAGGAAATACTACCTGTTTTTACCTACAATTCTCAGCTGTCCAGAAACAAAAAGAAAAAAAAAGTTCTATTAGAAGTAATAACAGCAAGTACAAGAATTCAAGCAGTTAACAGAAGTTAGAGAAACACTAGTGATACAAAAGTAATGTATTGCCCACAAAACTGGTGGTTAAAAAATAAAATCAAATTAGTTTTGTACCTATGATGCAACATGGTAAATTCCATGCCTTCAAGATCTCCTGTCAGGTGGAATCAAGAGCCATTCAAATCAAAACATTTTGCAGTGCAACTTAACTACTTTTTACCACTGGGGAAAAAATAGTAAGAAAGGAAATCCACAGTTTATTTGGAATCAGTGCTTTCGTAATTGTGCCAACAGTTTTATCTGTATGATCTGCTATGAATCATCTGATTTCAGTGTTACAGTAGCTGTCCTTGTATTAATTTGAGCATTTTCTCTTTTTTTAAAATTATCTTTTTTTTTCTGTTTACAAAGGAACATCAGTGAGGACAAAGAATACTTTAAGAATTCATAAATTGAGTTTTAGTGGCAAAATGATCAGTTCAATCAAAAACTTAAGTTACACATACACAAAATGTTCTTATGCACAGAGACTTTAACTTCTTTCAAGGTACTGGAAAAAGTAACTGGCTAATCCAAGAGTGCAGCCCTTTGGAATCTGCATGGGCATATCCCACACCACACTCTGCCACACTCAACATATTTCCAGCAACATCGACTCCTGTGAGGCCACATCATCCTTGGCTGGACTTATTTCCAGACATCTAACACAGAAACCAATGTTTCTGAATAGAAATTCTATCCATCACATTTTTGGATGATATGAGAGAAAGCAAATGAAGCTTTTCCTGTATGTTTCTAGAAAGCACTAAGCATTTCCTTAATAAGCAATCCAGCAATCCCTTATCTTTGTTTCCTCCTTTTAACAACGTTTCTTCCCAGGTGCTTATCTGCCCCAGGGGTTTTTAAATTTTCTTGCAACCTCCCAAGAAGTCAAAGCAAAAAAACACAGTCATGTGTGCACCCATGAAATCTATCTTCATCTAATCTATCTGTGGTAAATAATTTGGATACATTTAGAATGGATACACAAACATAAGATTTGAGACAAGAACAGATATAATACTTATTCTGAGAAATACATATATGGAATACTCAAAGAGCCTTAAATACTGCATATATAAACACGATATCTTTTTTCCCACTTGATAAGATTCTCCATATTGTTGAAATGAACATATACCAAATAAAGCAATATCCCTAAATATAATCTGCATATAAGACTTGGCTGTGTTACTAACAAGTGGCATAAAAGTGCTAGTCTTACAGAATTCCCACACAGAGGTATTTACATGAGATGTTGGGAAGAGAAAAATTAGATACAGCTGAGCAAAGTGGCATATGCTTACTCTTTCAGCAAAGCCAATCCACTGCATTATTGAGTTGTAATGACCCACAGGGATCACATCTGGCTGAGGGATCTGCCCACCCCTAGCACACAGCAGCGTGTCTGCACTGTCTATACAGGACACACAACACACCTGTGAAGTGGCCTCACAGATTTCTTGTTTCTGTTAACAGGCATACTTTTCCCTTCAGGGAATGAATGGCTTTAAGTCACCCCCAAGTACTTTTCTTCTTTAAATCACTGTATTTCAGTTCACAACATAAACTAAATTCTAGTTATCCAAGAAAGAGTCAATTACTTCCATTTCTAATGGAATTGCAGCTACAATTCATTATCCGAAGCACTTATTTGAAATAATTTTGAAAAGAATCCTGAAAAGAATCCTTTACACATTTCCTTTAAAAGGCTTTTCATACCCATCAATTCAGAAGAAGTGTATTTCCTGAGGAGACAGTTATGCAGTCTAAAAATAAGACAGGTAAACCTAGAGACACAGCCTAAGACCAGCTTAGCTGGCTTCAGCCACATACACTAACAAAAATATGTCACCTAGTACACTGCAGACTGTTCTATTATTACTTTGCATATTTGCATTTCTGGTATTCAACTTCAGCACTTTGGATAAAGAAATGGGCCGATTCATCAGCTAAGAATCTCATCTGT